TACACGGCACCCCCCTCTCAAAAACTCAAAATTCCTCAGAGGTTTGGATCATAAAGGCATTTTAGCACACAATCCGCCACAAAGCTGGCTCTGGCCAGACACCGGATAGCGCTGTGTCTGCGGCTGAGGAGCGTCTTACCTCCAGGAAACTGATGCCCGAGTCAATGAATGAAGTGTGCGTGTGTCTCCATCAGTGTAGATTCATGTGTGGTGGTTCACGCTTCTTTGCTTGGTACATGCCTGTGCACAGAGATGTTCGGAATCTTTTCCCCTGTGCAGCTGTTCAAACATATACAATGTCCATTCTGTGCAGCTGTTTGTACCAGCTGTTCAAACATATACACTGTGCTGTGACAGCCAGAGAATTAGCCTGAGATCTTTGCACCACAGAGGTGGTGCAGTGAATGTGGGCCTCCTCTGCCTGACCTCATCCCTTCTCTGTGCGGTCACGGAACGCATTGATGGAGAGATTGGGTTTCTTTTCCTGTTCTGATGGATCAAAGAACATGTTTCATATTCCTTGTGCTTTGTTCATCTGTGGCCTTCTGCAAAGTCTTATAAAAATGTAGCCTGACGCGCCACATTTGATTTTAATGTAGGAATTCAGTCATGAGCATGATGATGCCCAGATGTGTGAAAATCCTTCTGTTGTATATCTGTTCTGGTAGGATAATGATTTCACACCAAAGCCAGGATGTGGGTATGTTTTTATAAGCGATATCACAGGATAATTTCATACAGAGAAGACAGTCTGTCTCTCTCTGTCGCTCTTGGTGTATGTTGCAGTTCATTTGCACAGTTTTGTTATGTGAAAGATTTAAATAATGTTAGATCTGGGTTGCATAGTTTTGTACATCTCCTGGTTATTAAAGGACGCACGGACCCGTGGCCTGAGATTTGTAAAATGCCTTTTTTATAAATTGTACAATGCTAAGGTTTAACCAGAGTCTTCCTCAGTCCATTCTAATGACATTAACCCTAAAATAGATGATGTGCTGCCCCTTTTGCAGCCGGTCCTGTCCTAACTGAAGCAGCTCTATTACTAAAAGTAGACTTGACTTTATTACATGTGACAAAACTCTGGAATATGTATCAGCAAGACATCTGCCTTTCATCAAGTCAGAGTTTTTAGACATTTTCATGTGCCGTCATCCCAAAGAAATGTTTGATATATATCTGTCAAAATTATTGTTTATGCCCTTTTTATTTGCTAAAGACACTGGCTGAGCATCCAGGGCATGGTTTCGGTTATATTCCACCTACGATGTTGCAATCTTTTGCTGAATCCAAGCGCCCCGACTGGTCAGGGTCACTGTTCAGTAGGTAACTGAATCGCTGTCTGGTTTGAAGACCTGGCTGCAGGACTTTAATCTCTACAGTTGTAAGAGAAGCAACTGTCATTTTCCAAATGTTCGTGATTTGTCGTCGTCACAAAAACATTGCTTTCATTATGTTGAGTTTTTTCTACAGCAGGTAACGTGCACCAGTGTTGTGGTCGTCAGTACAGAGTTGGAAAGAGAAGAGAGAACTGTGGGCATGTTTGCCTGGAACCATGACAGAAAGAGCCAGAAAGCCAAAGCAGGAATATTTGATTTATGAGTGAAATTGCAGGGAGAGATGCTCCTCTCTGCTTCCTTCCCTCCCACCCTCTGAGTTGTCTACGGTGTTTGGGTGCTGTCAGCAGTGCCCTTCTTGCCTCCCATCTCCCACTCTCATCTGCCCTCCCTCTGAGTCTAGTCTGCAAGAAATACAGGGATTCATGAGGAGGTCTCGAATGTCTTATGGGGCCCTGTTGTTTTCTGGGAAGTGACTGACAAGCCAAATAAGATTCTAATAGGTGCACACCGGAAACCCAGCTCACTGGAGGAAGTGTCTGGAGAGAGGGAAGTCTGGGCATCTTTGCTTAGACTGCTGCCCCCGCGACCCGGTCCCGGATAAGTGGAGGAAAATGGATGGATGGATGGAACTTCTGACAACTGTATTGTGTGATGAAGGCAGCTGGCTGAGGGTTCAGGTTGCTCAAGTTGCTTCATGTAATGATCTGATTAAAGCCAGTGTAAAAATTATTTTAACACTGGCTTCACTTAAAGCTGCATTAACTCAGATTCCCTCCAGTTTGATAACCCCAGTGACAGTGGGACGTGGTGTCTCCCAGCTACACCCCCCCCTCCATGACCCTCTGCTGCCCACAGGCTCCTCGTGTTATTCCAGCT